AAGGGTCCCGCGCAAACAATGCAGCAGATACTCAGCCTGTCCATGCACTGGAATGTGATCTTGTTGCAGATGTCCAGCGGTTTCGGCGACATATAGTCCCCCTACCCGCATAACGTAGTTTGTAATATCGTACACACGTAGCTCGAATTCGGTGTCATACCATTGTTTGTGCGCTGTAAACAATTTATTTGCTGGGTCTTGTATGCGAAATTCGCGCGGTGAAAGAACATGTTGAACGCGTTAAACCTGACACTTGCCGACATTTTTCCGGAGCTCCGCCCCTGGACTGTGCGCTTATTCCCCAAATCCGAAGTTCAGTTTGCCACCATTCTGTACTAGGTTAGCAAGTTTCCTAAAAAAAGAGTCTTTACCCTGATACTGACTTTGAGGCCAACCTGTAATGTTTCCAACACGTTAGCCACGAGTGCCGCAGATCAGAGACACAACAGTCGTGAAGAGAGGACAACACACCCTATTTCCGTCGTTTTGTGGGAAAATGGGAAAACAGATTCGCTCGTATTTCGCGAACGTCCTCAGCCCCTATTACTCACCAACCCTGGAAGCATGACCGTATCGCGTCAAGCGCTTTCCGTGCTAACAAATTTAACCAAAAGGAGAGATCTAGGAGACTCCAAAATTTCATGGACGCAGCTTTCAGGAGCAGCAAGAATAAGCACGTCAACATTCTCGAACTACCGCTTCCTCGGAAAATGGCAGTAGTAAAGGTCGTTGATATAACAAACCTGCTGTGTGATAAAAATCTTGGGATTTTCATAGGCAGAAATGGGATCAATATAAAAAGGATACAGAGTGAATCTAAGGTAACGCTTATCAACTGGATGCATGTAGTCAATACTCGCATTTCAGGTGATTTTACAAATAGAGCGGTGCGAAGGAGACGGTACGCTGAGGCTTCGCCTCACAGGCGCTCCTATGGCGATCGAAGCTGCGCTGATTGAAATCCATGAACTGCTTCTAGAGATAATTCGCCAGTCGTTCTGTCACGTGCTACTACTACCTAGTCATTGGGTGGGACACATAATTGGTAGGTTCCTGT